CAAAGTTCTATGGCTCAAGCTCCTTCAGCTCATTTGTCTTGTTACTAGCACCCCAAAGCCATTCTCCATGGCGGCCGCGAACGTGATTTGCTCTCGATGCAACGAAGAGGGGCACCAGGCCGTCGCATGCTCCAAGCCATTCTTCAAGACTTGCGATCATTGCAAGGCAGTGGGCCACACAAGCAACAAGTGTCCGTCTTTGAGGACACTCAAGATGCCGCTCATCTGTGCATACTGCAAGGATGAGGGTCACTCGATTTCCACTTGTGACAAGAAAGTCAAAGCAGACAAGGCGAGGGCTGCTCGGATGGCCAAGAGGAGTGAGGAGACCAAGAGTGAGACCTCTGAAATCAGTACTGCAGCCAGCTTTCACCAGGGGGGTCGGCAAGTTGAGCTTAGATCCAGGTAAGTGTTAGTGGACCATAGTTACCAGACCCGATGCCATAAGGCATCATGGTGATTTTGTTGATGCTGACAGTTGCTTTGCAGCTTTGTGCAGTGTACAGCTGCATCGAAAGATCACTATTGCTGGAGTAAACTATAGAAGTTCTAGACCAAACGGACACGTGGTCAACTGGCTGTTGTGTAGTTACCTGCAGCTGAAAAAAGAGTGCATCTTTTTCTGAAATGTGCACTTACACAGTTCTTTCTCGGCTCAACCATGCTGTGTGCTGTACGACGTGCATGGAGAACCATGCAGCGCAGGTGAGGAGTGGGGCACGTCCACGGCTGACTGGCCACTGGGTGGCAGCTTTGGTGGTTCCATAACCTTCCACCTCCTTTTGATTGGAACATTAAATTTTTGGTGGTCTGGTGGTGGTCGGTCCAAATTGAGGTCACTCAGGGTCTAGGGATATTAATGTAACTATGTCGTCTCTTTAAAGGCTTACAGGGGCGAGGCGTGGAAGATTTTGAAGGACATGTTGTTTTTGCATCCTTTCATGCTCATTGCTCATCGATGTTTGCATTCACAGCTTGGTGCTCTAAGACCTCCATGAAGTCTTCCATCAACTGGTGGTGACCGTCGTGGTGTGAGAACTCCGTCCGCTTCCCCTTTCGTCACCACGGTGGTGACGAAGGGGGCCGCCGCGTGTGGCGACCTGCCGTGCTGTCCTCAGGTGGCTGCTGGCTGTTGGCGGCACTCGTCGCTATCTTCATCTTTCTGCCTGTCAGGTGTGGCGTCGAAGATGTGGAACCAGTGACGAGATCGAAACATAGACCGAAACATGCCTCGACTTTTCTGCGTAGGTATACTGCCTACACTGTATAATATATCTAGAGGTCAGGTTGATGACCTGATGACCTCTGTTTTGATAGGACGTTTGAGCATGGTTGATCATCTAGTATAGAGGTCACAAAATGGCTGTCTCAGGCTCTAGGTACTGCATAATTTGTGCATCACTGAGATGTCAATATCTCGCAACATCCCCCGCGGTCAGAACAGTCGAACTGAGCCAGAGATGGTGTGTACCGACCACTGGAAGACAACACTGGGTTGGCAGATGATAAAAGAACTTATTCCCATGTATTCAAGATCTGAAGATGTTTGAAGTACACACCCGAGGAAAATTGAAGATCTATTCATACAGGATCATACAGGATCCTTACTATATCTATATTCATGAAGATCTTGTTGGAACAAGATCCTATTCATTCCATACCTGATCGCCAGGTGCACTCCCAGGCTCCGGAGCTTCCCGTCGCTCTCACGGACGGTGGATGGGGACGGCAAGGCTGAGAGACCTTGGTTGTTTAATATCGTTTTGTTTTTTTTTTGTTTCGCCTCACCTGCCAGGTATTTTATCAGAGCTCTCCTCCTCCTTCTCCTCTCCTCCTCCTCTTTTATTTGCGGTAGTCAAGATTAGTGGAAGGAGCGTTCCTTTTCTATAGCCCAATGTCAGATTTAGTTAGCGAAACGAGGTAGGAACACCCCGAGAACGAGATGGGCATCAATTGCGCCATTTGTTTGAAATGGTTTAGTTAATGACATGTTTAGCTGGTGAACCGAGGTAGGAACACCTCTCGAGAACGAGATGGGTATCCATTGCACCAAACGGATACAGGAATGGAGAACGAGATTACACCCCAAAAACGATGCGAGATTGGAGAAGGAGGTAAGGAAGGCCCATGTGATATCTTAACGGAAATATGTTCCATCGCTCATATATATATATATATCATATTGTATATCCTTGATATGGGAACATGCCATGCAGAGATCATACTTCCTGCAAGTGTATCAGTGTATCAATTGTATTACATGGTCATGAATACACCCAACATGTTTGAGTGCTTAAGGTTTGCATGTCAGTTCTTTGGCCACCTATTTCGAATCGTTTCCGGTGAAGATTCCATGCTTTGGACCACCAGAACGACCCCCAAGAACCATAGAACCCTCATCCAACCCCCACTCATATTAGCCGCACCCAGGTGTGCTGCTACCGGAGCTACACGGCGCCCAAGCCACAAGACCCGCCCGGGATGCTCAGCCGTGGCGAGGCCAGGTGCGCGAGGTCAGCGGCGAGGCCGCTGTGAGGTCTTCACTGCAGGGAGGAAGAGCCAAACCAGCGGCAGTCACGCAGTATTTTACTGTTTTGTTTTGTTTTTTTTCCACGTTTTCTGGCCCCGTTTTTCCTTCCCTCTATGCTTAGTGTTGCTACCTAAGGCTGAAATCCTACCTAACCTCTTCCTAAGCGCGCTCTGAATCCGCACAGTTCCAGTCCGAACGGGGACAATCCGCCGCTTGGACGCGTGTGGCGTGTGGCGTGTGCCGAGGAAAAGGAGCAGGATCTTTCGATGGCAAGTGCTCCTGGTCCAGCCCCTCGGCGAAGGGAGAGCGAAGAGACGAGACTGGGCAGACTTTACAGGGGGTCTTCCACGGCGAGTGGTCTGACCAGAATCGGATTCAAGAGATTCTGAGATGTTCGGGGCAGAGAAGCTTGATTCTGAGCTCTTTGCTGTCCTTTTTTGACAATAGACGATGTTTTTGGAGAATGATTGCCATGCAAATGATTGTTCTGCACAGAGGTGTTGTTCCGAGACACGAGACACGAGACTAACCCAATGCCAAGCATCCGTAGTGGGACGATGTGGGATGAACATCGCATGTGTACAAGTTTCTTATCGATGTAGATCATTTTGTATGGTCAATTCGATGCAGTCACTAGATGTCACGATCGAAGTGACCACAGGCCACACACATTGGCATCGCGACGAACGGAGCAAGAAGCTTAGAACGGGGCTCCTGGCCTTACTACTAGTACTAGGAACAAGGACGTGAACCGAACGGGGCTCCTGGCATCGCTGGAGCAAGAGGACGCCACACATTGGCATCCCGTTCTGTTCGACGGTCCCAGGAATCCCAAAGAATGGACAGAGGCGACCGGGGAAGCGACGGGGTAGCGATTTCGGTGGGAGTTCCATGTTCGGGCGAGTCCTGAAGACAACGCAGTACTGCGCTTGGTACGGACCGAGTCCTTAAGACATCTGAAGAGATACATGTTTGAGTCTTTGTAGTGCAATGCTGCATGATTCTGGACACAGTGTCGATGTGGTTTAAGGGGTTTAACTTGGAGACGCGTCGAGGCGGAGAATCTTGCGTGTGGAGTCATGCCAGCGAAAGAATTGCTGAAAAGCAGTCCCATGTTCCTGCCTGAAGTGTCCAGCCACACCTGAGTCCGGTGCCATGGTTTAATGATGTTTAATGGATGTCATGGCCCCATCATGGCCCCTTGGAAGAGGCCGCCATCTTCTACCGCCGCCGCCGGAGCCTCGCCTCCGTCCACCCCAGGACCCCTTAGCCACGGAGCAGCGCTCGCGGAAGGCCAAGCTCACGGATGCCAAGGTCGGATGATGGGGTCGCGAGGGTCGCTGCGATGCTGATGATGGGGGTCAATCCTGATCGTACCACAGCCATCATTACAGCCTAGCCGTTCAGGTAGCACTATGACTAATTATATAGCATACTATATAGCATACGATAGCAATTACATGGTATGGCCTAGACAATTCCTGTTAGGTGTGTGAGTGATAGTATGCTACGAAGTGGTGAGTCGCCAAGTGAGAGACAGTTCTTTGAGAGACTTCTATATCCCCTTACCTCTTACTCTTCGCAAAGCCAATATAGCGTGGAATCTCAAGTCGACAATCTCTTAGCATACAATACTTTGCACACTTCGCTTTGTTTTTCAAAGTTTGATTTGATTTTACAGACACACTCGAAGGTTGGCTCCAAGTGAAGCAACATGAAGCAACAATATAATGACCGTTGAAATTGGACTGAAACAAGGTTGTAAGTCCAATTTGTGGTATTGGATTTGACCGAATCATATGAGAGTTCTGTGTCTTAAACCATCTTCACGTCCACGACCGCACCACGTCCGCCGTTTTGCCACGTCAGGTGACTTCCCCAAAAGCCTCAGGCGACGCTATGGAGACCGGAAAACCGCGCAGCGGAGCTTGCACCGGTGGAAACCAGAAACCACCGGGTCCAGGTCCTTAGGTTTCGTGTTGAGACAAGAAGCGCAAAGAACGTGATCTAAAAATGATTGAATATCCCTACCGTTTTGACGCCGGGGGACCTACCCCCCCTTTCGAAAATGAAACTTTTTCATTTATACCCCGTCCCCCCCACCCTACTTTCACAAAAACATACTAAAAGGATACCTTTCCCGGCGCCGTCGTGCACCGTCCTTTCCCGGCGCCGGGTCCGCTTTCCTTTTCTTTTCTTCTTTCTTTTCTTTGCCCGGCGCCGAATCTTTCCCGGCGCCGGGCCCGCTTTCCTTTCCTTTGCCTTTTCCCTTCGCTTTTCCTTTTCCTTTTCCTTTTCACTGCAGGAGGAACATCAATCACTTGACCGTCAACCAATCTCCTGTATTTGGCAGCCGAAGCCCCTCCCCGTCATCCCCCTCATCGATCACATCTCTCTAAAAGGAACCAAATCCAAGCAAGTCGACACCTCTGTCCGTCGCGCAGCCTGCTGGCGCTCGTGGTGTTCAGTCCTGGCCATGCAGATCAACTGTAGATCCTTAAGTCTCTATCATATAGGGGTCGGCCTATTTAATTGTTCCAGGGGACCTGTGGGTTTTAAGTGGGGGGGGACCATTAAGCCATCCCCTATACTATCATACCCCCTGCTGGCTGGGACAGACTTCAACCTTCACGGCTCCGTTTCCACCATCAAACGACGGATTCGGATCGTACAAACGACGGATTCGACCGGAGCTTGACCTGAACTTGACCTGGGTCTGAGGACAGCTTGCTGGGTCGAGCTTGACCTGAACGGAGCTTGACCTCAACCGTTCGGTCGGACACCGTTGGGTCCTCGAGATGCGTTCGGACACATGTTCAGACCCTCCAGGCTCAGGCCCAACGGAGGCGCGACTGGTTCGGGGGAGTGGGGATTGGTTCCGGTGGAGACCACTGAAAAGGAACATAGACTGACTAGTTGTACCAGACATGGTCAACCTACCATGATTTCGGGCAGTTTCACCCACAGCCATACCCAAATTCAGGGTTTGGGTCGGCCTGGTTCGATCCGTCCGGTGCTCCGGGCCACAGGGTGTCGAAGGTCGCTGACCGACACGCTCAGCTCGCTGTGGGGCGCAGACAAACACCGTTGGAACCTGCGTGGTGTTGGCACTGTCTAGCCGCCACGAAAACCGTTGGTGTGCTTTAACCCTCTACTGATTGCGGTTTGTGCTGGAGCCATGAGGGAAATAGATATTTGATTCAAAAGGAATGAATGGCAGCTCGCATGTGACTGCTCCAACAAAGATGCCGCGACCGGCCACCCCCGGATCCAGGCCTTCGAGCTCTTTGGAGACTTCGACATCGAGGCCGAGCATCGCCTCGGTCGGTGCGAACGACGGTGCGACCGGTCAACGCGGCGAGCCGGTCGAGAGGCGCTGTTCGATGATTTGGATCAAGAGGCTCGGGAGCCCAGGCGGTGCATGCTTGTCGTAGCTTTCAGCTGTGAAATTCCAGAGATACAATCCGGGAAACCACGCATGTTAGATTTCGATCGGTCAAAAAAAGGGGGGAATCTTCAGAACCACTGGTGACCTAAACAGTGGAAATGGGGGGGACCCAGCCTCCAGTGGTGGTTGCCTGTTGGAGGGTCCTCTAATTATAGGTTGACTGTGGTTCATGAATTACATGGTCCAGGGCTCATGAAGGCTTGAACCGCTGGCCGCTGGACTTCAAGCTGGGAAAGGCAGAGATGTGGCCCTCCAACAGGGTCGACAGAACAGTGCTGGAGAGGGTCCTTTCAAGCTGGTGAGGGGCGACAGAACAGTGCATCCCTGGCTTGAGGGGATGATGTCTGATGAGTTGAAGCGAGTTGAGGTTTGACATTCCAGATGATGCAGGGTTTCGGCAATCAGCAGTAGGAATCACATGGAATCACCATAGCTCAGGGAAGATATGCATGAACCAAACCATGCAGATCTTTAGAATGATGCAATATGATGCAAATAAGTCCCCAATCATTTGAATTGACGCACATTTGTGGATCCGAACATGTTCCAGTTGGCGAATCAAGGTATTTTCCCCCACAGTTGCACGGCGTAGAGAATTCAAAGTTTCAAAAAGATCGCAGGGGACGGTATGGCGCTAGGGAAGAAACATCAATCCCACCGGGTGGGGTCCTACCGTTTATGCACAAGAGAACCACCAGAACCATCAGGGCTCGATGGCCCGACACACCAAAGTAGAAGGTTGGCAATCCGACACTTGTGATGGTCAAATGGAATGACACAACATGCCAATCTTGTTGCCCTGTTCATCCCTGTTCAGTCAATTTTTGGCAAACTTTAACAAATGGTGGAAGGTGATTGAGGCGACGAAAAGACAAGATGAACACACACCGAAAGCCACGATGGAACCCTAACACAATCAAACCACTGGCTTTGTCACTTGTCCGACTTGGGTCCTCGTGCAGGTCTAGTTTTCCTGGGGGAAAAGACTATTAGCTATTTATATACATATCTATACATATATATATATATGACTAGTGTTGGAGCCTCAATCCAGTGGCGAGGGACAGCGGGGTGTTGGCGCCTGAGCAACAGTTGTTGATGACAACCTGGCACTCAATCGGTATGGTACTGGTATTTACTACAGCAGTTCCGTGGCTCCTTTCACATAGCAACTGTCTTGCTGTTGACGGTCGTTGCTTACGGTCGCTGCCTGTCCAGCAACTGGGTACAAGTTCTACACAAAATTGCACTGAACGCACAACCGCCTGCAGGGCCGTCCCAGCGGCTTGCCCTCCTCTGGAGGTGTGCCTGCCGGGGGAGCTTCGGAAAGAACTTTTGTTTGTAGTAAGAGTAATTTTCTCCCTGAAGAGAATCACGTTTTAAGAATCCCTGATGGATTGAGGTATTCGGTATTCGCACAGAATTGTAGCATCCACCAAACTCAGAAGCCCACTAGTGTGAACACCAAACTCATAAATCCACTGGTTTCATGTGGTTGTGTGGTTGATAGGTCTGCGGTCTGATAGGTATTTTTGTATTTTATATCTTGATGTTTTCATGTGGTTGTTATTATTGATGGCTTTTGGTACGGCCCCACGAAGATCCAAAGTGTTTTATATAACTAAAATGTGGATGCAAGGTTGGGTGCCAGGTCACGGGTCACAGTCTCCACCCTCTCCGCACGTTCCTTACATCGACGCCGCCGAATGTGGACGCCACCGCTTGCCAGGTGCGCTCGAGACCTCGACGCCGGACGACATCGACGACTTCTTCGACGTGCGGCGGCCCAGGATGCCCAGGTTCATCCGCAGAGATGGTCTTAGTTGGGGGGAGGGTGGGCATCAAATGATCCAGACATGGTGGTCGATCCTAACAACTCCCGTCCCTCACAGGTTTAGAACGAGTTAGTTACCTACTGGCCGCGGTTTTTAGATGCGAAGACAGATTCAAGACTCGGATGGTTTAGGTGATAGGGTCAGGCCATGGCTTTTGGGTGAAAAGCCTTGCTTTTCATGAACATCATGGCCTGAACAACAGTTTGTGGATGTTGAAAAGCCTTGTTGGATTGGATAACACTCCCAGAGACTATGTATTGTCAATATTTGCTTGCATTGGCATGCTTGAAAAGGGCTTCATGTAGGCCCAATCCCCACCGGAACGCCGATGGCATCCGCTCTGCCCTTCTCCAGTCTTTGCTGGCGGATCCGGTCTTCCAACCGAAGACCACGGCCATGCCTTCTTCGGCGCCAGCGCGTTCAGAAGGCTGGGGAGAGTATCATCGGCTGGGGTGAAATGGAAGGAAATGAGGTGAACCCTGGAGATGGCGGGGAAAGACATTGACATCTGCAGCAAATGGCGCAGACATGTCTGAGGTTGATCATCCCCCAAAAAGTAGAACCACGAAGCATCCTTCGAATCAAACCTGGCGTTCGAGGGTTTTTTAATTTTGAGGCGCAGAGGTGAACAGACCTGAGTCAAACCTTCACCATCCTTCACCTTTGATGGGCCCATCATTCTTATAGGAAATACCAAAAGCATCCATGTTCTGAAACCCCTCCAAACCCACCCAAGCACCTTTGAAAGAGGTACTTGGAGCCCCAGGAGATGTAGTGGGACTGATTCAGCCTGAGATTTAGGTCGTCAGGTAAACTATACCAATTGGACTGAGAAAGGTCCATCTTAAATTCTGGTGTGTTCTGGTAAATAGCACAAAGATTCACCAAACAACTCGTCCATGGCCCCTGGTCGTGCATGACTTGGCCAATGGTTGCGGGCCCCCCCATCCGTGGCCCTGGGGCCTCCAGGCCTCAGGTCCGATGTCCAATCAAACGACGCCCAGTCTTCGCACACATACCACTGCTAGTCTTGCTTGGTCAAAAAATACCTGGTCATAAAAGTCGGGTCAAGGTTTATCTACCTTCGGTATCCTTCTGTACCTTCATCCTTCTCAACAAATGGATTTGTTGGATTTGCAGGGTTCTGTCCGGGAAATCTTCCGGACACCATTGCCGCATTGCCTTAAACTTGTCTTCTAAAGCAAGTTTGACCCAAGCCCACCCCCCATAGGTAAGTGTTCGCATTGTTCATGCATTTGCAAATCTATTGCTCATCTCTTGGGGGAGAGATACACATCTGGTAAACATCCCGTTCGATCTGGATGTCTTCGGTGAATCTTCTTCTCGAAACCATCGATTGAGAAAGTACTTTTAACATCTTTTAACAAGGACACTGAAAGGATCCTTTGTCAGAACGTCCGGAAACCAAATAGCCATGGCCAGTGAAAGTGAGGAAAAGGCAATGCTCTTCCGGTATCTTCCTCTTTCATCCTCTTTCATCCTAGAAAGGTCCGGCAACTCCCGCTCCTGCCAGGTGTGTCGCCGCCCGTGGCCACAGCGAGACCAGTGGAGGCGCGAAGAATTGCAGATTGAATAGATTGAATATGATGAAGTTATGGCAGGATTGTTGAGAGTCTAAGTTCTACCCATGAGCGGGCGGATTCGGTTTCTTCACTGAACAGAATCTGTATCGGAAGTCGTTGGGATTTTTTGGGGGGAACTTCGATAGAAACAGGGAGGTGGCGGTTCAGAAACATTCAGAACCGGTCTTCGCTTGACTGGCTCGGACATGAGGCAGAAGGGCCGAAGGTGACGTGTGCCATGCCCAATGGTGACCAGTTCAGCTGCTTGGTCGACTGGGAGCGAATCGCGAGCGAATCGCGAGCGAATCGCGAGCGAATGGCGAATCGACCGTTCAGTGAGTTGACCTTGACGCTGGTCATTTGACCGTTCACGGCTTTTGACCGAGTCAGTTTTGGGATGCCCGCTTCAGTGCTTTTTCGGTTGGAGAACCCGGACACGACCGGACTGGAAGACATACCACCCCAGAAAGGTCCAGATCCACGACGCCAGTCATCGTTCCTCCAGCTTACAGCCACGACGCCAGTCGAAAAACTCCCTCTGACTGCATCCGTGGTTTTTTCCTCCACGTACTAAACTGCAGAATTCTCAACTCGCCAGCAGAAAATTGGCTTACAAGGGAATACAGGAAACATCAGGACACCCATGGACTACAGAGTTTGGAAGTGAAAACCAAGGTTCCTGTACATGTTTTCCTCAGAACCAGAAACCCCACCTAGACAGAGCGATCCGACGCATCCGAAAGAGACAGGGCACTGCCTCTCCCAGGTTGGAGGGTGTTGTCCAAATCGGTCCAAATTGGAACCATTCTGCAGGTTCCTGGAATAAATTAGAAGATGAAGCAAGCTCAAAACAAGTCCAGTTTTTTATAGGCATGTTGGGTTTTTTCCCATCTTCTATTTACTCCAGGATGACGAACACGATCTGTCTTCACCACCTTACCTTGCCGGTGAAATGATGTCAACCAGTTTCAGTACAAAGACGGCAGGATTCTGTTGGAACGTTCGCACAATTGGTACAAGGAACACATTTCTCAGTCTCAGATGTTGGCACAGTCAAAAATATGTGTTTTTTCAATATATAGGGCTCCATAAACGACCTCTGACAAAATAAGCAGGAATATCCATGGACGGCTGTTCCAAACACAAGCCATACCAGAAGTCGTCAATGGCCCTGCGGTTTTACTATGCAAAAGCACCGGCATGGTGGCTTTGTGCCTAACCATTGCCTAACAATGCCTAGCATAGACCATCGGAGCAGCCCACGATGTTTTCCAAGAGATGGAACAGGGGCTTTGCACGTTTTGCACCGACTTTAAGTCCGAAATTAACAGCCCTGATTTTTGCGGAGATGCTCGGCAACTTCGTTGTTTTCGGAGTTTCACAACGCAGACGTATACCACCTATACCCAGCTACCGACCGGTCCGATGTTTGCGTTGGCTCGATGATTAGCAGGTGATGCATCCTTGCGCTCCAAGGCCAGAATGGTGGACGGGCAATTCTGTGGCAATATCGTGATTAATCGTGATTATTCACACCCTTTCTGGTCATTTTCTGGTCATGATCATCAATCATTACAGTATCGTGTTATGATGGGATTGAATACGGTTGTCTTTTCGGCTGGTCAGACCTCAGCTCCGCCCAAAGAGGCGGCAGATTAGCATCGAGTCCAACAGTGCTGCATGCTGCACTGTGCGGATGAAGGCCCACTCAGGTCACTGTCCAGCAGCTACTTCAGCTACCCAAATAGCGCCGTTCGTTTCTCCAAGCGCAAGAATGGCCATCGCAAGAATCCCTCAATATAAAGCGCTGTTCGTTTCTTCTATTGGGTCGGTGAACATTTTTCCAGTGGAACGCACATGGTCGCATAGCATGCATGGTGAAGTTTCATGAGGTCGCTTGAGCGGGAAACTAGAAATAAGCTCAAACCCTTTGGTTGGGGGGTCTCCCTCATCTTTTCAGCCCACATTCTTCCGCGCACGCACACACACGCACACACACCCAGCCACATCTTCTCCATTGTCTCGCAAAAAGAACACGACCAACCCGCCGGTCTTTAAGTCTTTGCTATTGCTGCGAGTGGCGTGCTGCCTGCCCCTTGCGCGTGGCTCCATGAACGAGGACGAGGTGTTTCGGTGGAGAATGGCTGAGCTTGGGGACCCTGGCGGGGTGAAAACAAAACAAACGAGGACCTAATAGTTTGTTGGACAGATACGTTCAACATAGATCCAAAATGGAGACTCAATCCAGAAAATGCTCCAGTTCGCCGGTTTCCCTGAGAATATCTTGGGTTGCGAAGCTGGTTGCGAGTCCACTCTCCAACTCCCGCGGCAGTTTTCGTTTTTGATGTACTTGCCTGACTTGCCTGCTGGGAAAGAACAAAAAAGAACAGTTTGCCTTAAGTCAGGATCCTATCTCAAACAGCACCTCTTTTGCTTTGAGTAATTGACATCTTCAATCAACATTTGGGGTCATTTGGGACTGTCCCAAATACATCTTATACTTGACTCAGTCGGCTCCGACTCCGCCACTTCGACTCCGACTCCGCACCGACCCAGTCGAAGCTCCGCGTGGTGGACGTGTCGCAGCTGCGCGAGACCGACCACGCTGCGGTGGCCACGCTGCGGAGGGCGTGTGAAGAGCCGCTGGGCGCACGACCTCGGCGCGGTGAAGGGTCTTGGGCTTCCCCCACCAACTTGAGTTGTTGGAACTGGGTTTGATGACCGCAAGTGCCACTTGTACAAGGAGTTGACAGGAATTGTCTGCTTGGCAGAAGGCATAAACACAGGCGGTGGCGGATCCGCCTATAATGACCTTATAATGATTACTTAAAACATGGATGAACACATTATTGTCCAATTTCATGCAGCAGAGTGCAGCAGGATTAGTAGTTATTTTCTTAGTTACTGTCATCATGAATGCACGTGTCTCTAGTGACTCTATAGTGTCTGGATACTTTCGTGTGCATCAATGACCAGGGCCATCCAATGGGTCACCAATGAACTACTCTACACTACTTAGAGATGTCCAGCCAGGAGGTGCCCTCGGAAGGTCCAGGTAGGTTCAGTTGATGTGCTCATCAATCAGCTCAGCTCTGATCCACAGATGTCCGACACAAAGACCTCACAGATGTCCGACACTGAACACTATGGAACTGTGGACGTACCGTGCACAGTGCATACCACAGCTTCCCACTCACCGCCTGACATTTCGGGCACCTCCACCCACCAGGCGCCAGCACCAGCAAGGCAGTTGCTTCACTCAGGACCTGCATAGTCCTACAATGTCCTGATCCCCCAAATTGATAGTGGCACGCTTTCCGATACCTTTTAAAGGGGGATCTACACTCTTCTATCTATGACTGGGGGTCTACAGACATGTCTCTACACTGTATAGTTGGTCCATCCTGCCTGCTTCGTTTCTTCTCAGGACCGGTTTCTTCTTGGTCACGCGCCATGGCGTGCCGCACGACCTCCTCGACCGGATCTTTGCCGCTCGAAGCACCGGCGGAGCAGAACCGGTGAAGTGCGTGTCATGCGTGTCATGTAGATGAAGCTCTTGTTTTGTGGTTTTGAGTAGAACCGGTGGAGCAGGTGGTTAAGAGTGTTTGTTCTCAGTCTTTGAGCAATATTGGTAGCAAGAGTGGACACTTGTGGAAACTTTGTGATGAATTGTTGCACATGTTTTCAACTGCAATCTCGTGGCAAAATACTTATGAAACAAGCTTGATATGTCTTTTGGGTGTGTGACTATGTTGGCTATGATTTCGCAATGGCCCGAGGCAGTCTCCAAGAAGTTCTTTGACCTGCCTGATCAAGAGAAGCTCAAGCACACCAGCCGCCCAGCGCTATAGAATGATGGAGAATGGTCAACGTCCATGTCAAAAGCTTCCCCTGCTCTACTCCTCCAACAAGGGTGCAGTGATCCCTCCAAACATGTGGGGGAACTCCCCGATTGCAGTCTCTGTGCTTCCGAATTCCCAAGATGGGACGACTAGCAGGTGAACAATATGTTCCCACGTGTTCCCTAAACCAAAATCATCCAAGTGCGCTAGGTCGGGGATCGTCCATGATCTTCCGTGAATGGCGCAAGATGTCTTTCAGCAATTGACTTCCCAGATGTTTCCCATGTGCATCCAGGCAGTTCCCACGAACGGGCCCCGACCCACCAGGGGTGCCAGACCACCGAACGGGGCGGGTGCCGGCCCTACTGGTGGGTGCCTGGGATCTCCATTCACACCATCAGGCACTTCTTAGAGAGCCACAAAGAGGAACCACAACGACCCAATTGAACCCATCCAAACCATTCAGTGACCCGGTCAGAGTATGCTGGATGTAAACTGCATACTGGCACCATCCAGTCAAATGAAATCCGGCACACGCAGTCAGGCTCCGAGAAGACGGGCTGGCGAGGCTTTAACCCCTACGGCAGCGGGCAAAACTGCTTCCCGGTGGCGTTGATGACCTCGGATCCATCGGATCCGGGGTTTCACCCCGGGAGGTGTGAAGGAATCGGGCGTGGGCGTGGTGGGGCTGAAAACGGCACCCAAGCAGTTCAGGTTAAATTTCAAGACCAGAAAGGAATAAATTCCCAAACAGTTTAAACAAACATCACATTAGCACACATCCCATATCTATTTGTTAAACCAACCCAGCGCCTGCAAGACTCCAAGACGGCGTTGGATTTCACGCAAGGCGTCAGGTCGTTTTTGTCACCAAGGCGTCAGGTCGAGCTGAGTTATTTGGGTCGACCAGCGTGAAGTAGGTGATGTGGGACATCCAGCACTGTTTCTTCTTTGTTTTTGGTAAGGTGCTGTAGCTCACCAAGGGTGCAGTGGCAAGCCTTTATCTTATCAGGTCACCCACATCCGGTAGTAGATCAACATATTGGTTGGGGTACTGATGATGGAAGCGCCCTCTGGATATCCTTTGGTCCCCGATCTTTTGGGAATGCACTTCCACTCTACAACTATGACCAAGCATTACCCACCGGACAGGGCATTTGCATGATTTTTGCAAGGTCTTTGTGTGAAGTGTGAAGCGATTGCAGAGGTTCTTTGGCATCGCCACGTCCCGAAGTGAAAGAGACCTTCTACTGTGGAGAGCCTCCTTCAGCAGCGGAGGGCGGCTCGGTGGTGTGAAACAGGGACCGGCTCGCAGATTGGTGTCGGTAGGTGAAGGATTCAATAGGATTCAACATGATTAAAGCAGCAGCTGCTTCTTTGCGCCAAAAGTTTGTACAGACCCCAAGCACCACACCAATTTCTCGGCATTATGAGGCAAACTCCCCTTTTGCGCATTCTCACTCGTGTTAATCATACCAACACTTGCCAACAGCTCGCATTTTTGCAGGTGCCCGTTGTTTGTTTTGTGTTTTTTGTCTATCGGTTTTCTTGATAGACAAGCTGTTAAAGGCGACTTGAAGCTGGGATCATTGTTATAGAATTTTAAGGCGACATGTCTTTGAAGGCACAAAGGATTCTTTCGGAAAAAAACAAAGAAAACTCCCAACCGATCCCGGCTGATCTCTCTCTTTGTTCGTCTCTGAGGCATCGAGGAGCCGGTGGAGGGCTTTTACCAGGAACTCCGCTCTTTGGCAGAGATGAATCATCTTCCCATCGTTTGGTATGTCCGGGCATGTTGATAGGACCATCGATAGAGATGATATGAGATGATCAGTTCCCTTCCGGTTTTGTATGGCAATTTACTCAGTGTGATGAGTTCTGGAGAGGTGTGATTCATTTCTTGAGCTCATGATGTTCATGACGATAATTTATTTTAGGTCATGATGGTCACTCCAGGATGGGAGTTGCTTGTTCAAACCTCGAGGATTGGAATGAGAATTCCCCGGAGCAGTGGTTCTACGGTTTCGTTCTGTGGAGGTTTCCGAGCTTCGAAAGGAGAATTCTTCAGGTTTGGAAGCACTTGCGGTTTGCACCGGACGAAGTCAGGAACGCAGATTTGCACACTAGTTCTAAGTAGAGTCACAATTGCCAAGTTTGACCTATGGACAAGATTGAATAACGGTTGTTGTGAAACTCTATAGGTTCCTTGAGAAGAGACCCCAGCTTTCAACCAGAGCGGTTTCCTTGAGATGATGATGGGCAATGCCTGGGTTCCAAAACCGTCCCACCCCCACGGGGAAAACATCGTGTAACATACAGTAGAAGAAGACAAACAATATCATTATAACATATCATTACTGTAATTAATTGGCTCATTGGCATGTAGGATCTACTTGCCATGGCAAGTGGAAGTTGCATTAGCGACTTAACCGACAACATACAACACAGAGCGCACAACAACAACAACAACAACAACAACAACAACAACAACAACAACAAC